AACTAAGCGATGCGCAACGACTGCATCACCCAGACACTTGGTAAAATTTCATTAAACAGGGCCATACATTGGCAACTTGTTGCGCAATAGCCAGCGTTGTGCAATTTGTTTGATTAGTATATGCCGCTTATAATTACCAATATTCAGAAATACAGAGACTCAAAAATTATATATTTTTTTTGGGTATTTTTTACTAAGATTTTCAAAAAATTCAGTTTTTCGCTAAAATTATATAAATCAAAGTAAATCCAACAAATATATAAAATAGTAATTATTTAGTTCATTAATTTAAGCTAATGTACATGTTAGAACTCTTTATTTTATCAAAAATCAAACATACTTACTTCTGGCAAGTCCTTTTGATCATTCAGCTTTTTCATTGTTATTTTATTTTTTAGTAAACGCATTTAAAAATAGAGGAAAATATCAAAACAGTAATATCTTATTACTATTCAAAGGTGATGTTAGCGAAGAAGTAAAATCTGCAATAATGCAGAAACGAGTAAATCCGTGGATTATATCTATATCTCCTATGATATCTATAACGTAAAGGAATTAAGGTATTTGGAATAATTTTACCAATTTATATTATTTCTATATTACAGCTTGTGGCAGATGGCTTGTGAAACTTATGCTGAGCAGCTCCAAGAGGATGAAAATGCTGACCCCATGGAAATAGTCACATACTTACTTGCTTGTCATAAAGTAGAGAAAGCCGTACACATTCTTAGTAACAAAATGATGTTCAAAGAAGCGTTTGTCCTAGCTAAAACGCGCCTCGGTGTAGATAGTCCTTTACTTACTGAAGTACTTGAAAAATGGGGCAAAGACTTGAATTATCATGGGGCATTTGCGCGGGCAGCACAATGGTATATTTTATGATAAATTTTTGAAAACTTATTAAACATTTTTTTAATTATAGCTACGTAGTTATCGGCAAATACCAAGAAGCGGCGTCAGCGTTGTTTAGGCTTAAAACATCGAACCTTGAGTTGTTAGAGTTGGGCGTCGAGCTTGCTCAGTTGTCTGGAAACGAAGAATTGCTTAAGGCTCTGCAATTCAAGTTCAATGCATTTAAGTCAGAAGAAACTGCAGAAGGTATTGATATGAGTTTCTGATGAATATTCTTTACTTTACTCTTATTTTATTTCCAGTAAAACAAATTAAATAATTTTATAAACTATAGTTATAATGAATTATTATTAGTAAGCTTGCTAAGCTCTATTTCTGAGAATTATATGAATTTAAGAAAAAATCAATTTAAACTATGTGAATTTCTTCAGCATACCCAATAACAATGAAAAAATCACTTTTTTTTAGTGATTTTTTCATTGTTATTCTTCTTCTTTTCACTTTTCACATAATCAATGTCTTCATTGGTTATGTTAAAACTGTCCATAACAGCAAATTACAAAAATTCCCTTCCAAATATGCATAAAGTGGGGTAGGTAACACAATATCGAAAAAAGTAGGAAAAGTTTAGAATTTACAATTGCGTCTACATACCAAGTTTTTTTCTAATATTGAGAGGGTTTTCAAGAAATCGATTTTTAGCCGACCATACCAATGGGTATGGTAGGCTATTAAGATCGGAAAAAAAGTTTTTTTAATTTCACTCAAAACGAGTTATTTGGGTCATAAATGACCTAAATACAAAATATTTTCATGGTGTCTGTCTGTCTGTTCGTCTGTCCGTCTGTCTGTTCGTCTGTAATACGTTAACTCAAAAAACGGTGAACCCATTTTAACCAAATTTGGCACAAAAATACTGTGGCACACGAGAATCTGGCCATTAGTTTTTGGTGGGGGTGGGGGGTTGGTAAGGGGGTATGGGAGGGGGTTAAAAATTAAAAAAAATCGTAACTCCAAAACTACAGTAACTAGCGAAACGCGGTTTTCAAATTAAGATTAGGAATAATATTTGCAACAAAATTTGTAATAACATCAAAATCAGTCAAAGTCGCAGTTTTTGAGTTATTAACATATTTTAGTATGGGCGGCTATACGGCGCCAATTTTTTTTTATTAAAATTACAGAAAACGTAGTAAATCTGATAAAAATATCTGTGATGTATCTTAGATAATTGTAAAAAATCGAATATGTCAATGTTTAAGATACCAATCATATTGCTGTGATACCGTATTGTTACGGATTCCATGGGTCTACTAATTTAAACTCACGATAAAGTACTTAATGGATTTATTTTCCCACTATATACACACAATTTATACTGATTACAACACACAATTAACTATTTAAAAAAAATACTTCGCCAAATTGTCAACATTCGCTATTCAAAAAGTAACCTTATTTCAAATCTAAATTGAACTGCTAGGCGCGGTTGCGCTTGTTCGAAAATTATCTGTAACGCTCTTTTTAGTTCCAGTAAATTCTTTACAAGATCCTATTTCCACTTGAGTCTACGAGAAGGCGCTTCAAACAATGTCCTGTATTAAAAATGAAACCTCAACCTGCAATTAATTTTTCATTTGACTTTTTTCGATATTTTAACACTACTATACATACTTAACCTTCTTACAATACCATACTCTATACAGAGCGTCGGTTACCTCTCGCATGTGCTTGTGATGTGTGTCATCAGTGTTTCACAAGTACACGGGACCTACAGTTTATCGCCGAATTCGAACGAGAGGCTGTACTAGGCAAATATACTCAAAATGGTTTCCCATTGCTTTCCTTGAGGTGGCAGCTCGCTGGTCGTTCTATTTAGATAAATCAGTATTATTATTTAAATAAATAAAGCGACCAAACTGGCTGGGGATCGTACCTTTCGCACCGCAGATCGACACATCAGTGTTTCGCTACGGCCGGGCACTACCTAACACTACTTTTTGCATGTGTACAGAGGATTTTTAAAATTTGCTTCCAGGACAGTTGTTAGTTGTAAGGACATAATAAGTCAACATTATTTGTTATTAAACATGCTGTAGAAATTTTATTTAAACATTTTTTCAATAACTTTTATTTTGGAACACCCTATATATTAAAAGTTATGTATGATACGTTTTCCAGATAACACTGGAGTTGACGAAAACGAAAATGTGAAAAAACAGGTAGGTATTGTTGAGAACAGTAATATAAATGGAGGAAATGAAGTTACACAAGAAAAAGAAAATGTAATCAGGGAATCTACAGGTGACAGTCCAATAGAATGCAGTTTAGACAAACTAAATGCCCAAGAAAGCACAGAAGTTGTTGAGGGTGATTTAAAAAATGGAGATATAAAAGAAAAAGAATGCTCTGTGGATAAGGAATCTGTAGATAATGGGAACTTAATAGAACCCTGTACCCAAACTGTAGAGTTTGAGCGTTCGATAGAGTGTAGCTTAAATGAACAGTGCAGTTTATCAAAAACAGACGCTATTGAGGTCAGTATTAAAAACGGAGTTGATGTGACTGTTAAAGAAAATGACATTTCTGTCAAGGAGTCGGTAGAGTAGGCAGAACAAAACAGTGATAAAAACAAAGATATTATCTAAGTTTCTAAATCTAAAATTTTAAGTTCAGCATAATAAGATGCTTATGACTGAGAAGTTTTATTTTTTTTTATTTTATAGTTTTAGGTTTATTATTTGACTGAATGATTTACTTATTTTTGATTGATTCCGTATTTAATATTGTGTTGTTTTGTTATTTTGAAGCTGATCTGTTAATTAAGATATAAGAAAGTAATCTTTACGTTTATACTATTTCGATTGTTGAAATAAATGTTTTTGGTAATGACATTTCTGTCAAGGAATCGTTACAATAGACAGAAAAAATTGCCATAAAAACACAGATGTAATATCTGAGTTTCAAAATCTAAAAGTTAATAGTTCATCATAAGATACTTGTGATTGAGAAGTTTTGTTTTTTTTATTATGTTATAGGATTATTGGTTTGACAATATGACTTATTTTTAATGGATTCTGTAATTAATAGAATGCTATTTTGTTACTTTCAAGCTGATCTGTTAAATAGATATAAGAGTGTAATACTTTAAGTTTGTCCTATTTCAATTGTTGAAATAAATGTTCATTTCTTAAAAGGTTTTTAGTTTAAAATGTATAACAGTGAAAAATGAAATTAAACCTTTATTAAACCTTAAGAGAAATTACATGAAATAATATATTTTAAAATAATAATCAGTTTTATGAATATATTAAAACAATTTTAAGTTCTATTTGAGCTATAGTCCTAATTTGATAAGTTGGAAATTATATTTTCATTTAAGCCATTTAATAGGAAGCCATTTGAGAGATATTGTAATTAATTACTTCACAATATAACATTAGGATGTGTCTTAAAGTTCTCGACAAACGGGAATTTTTTTGATATTTAACAACTTTTTACTCTTTTTTACAAGTTATTGCGTGGCAATAACTCCTTCGGTATAATAAAAAAATTTTTTTCTCCTTCGGTATAATAAAAAATTCCCATTTGTTGCCAACATTTTAGCACATCTTGTATAACAACCTTGCTTACATAGTGATCATACTTATTCGTGCGTGACATAGTCCTATTTTTAACATTACAGAATAACAAATTTTTAACAAGATGGAAACAAAAAATAATAACTTATAATATACTTTTATAGTAGGTAGACTTAGATTTTTATATGCTAAGAATAAACCTTATAATCATAGATAACAACTATGTTATCTGTGCTTATAATGAGATTCTGCTTAAAAAGATAATTAATTTTTAAGATGCCATATGTTACTGTAAAGACTAAATTATCATTTTAATAACTAGAAGTCCATAGTTTTTTTTATTAAGATGATTACATAGAAAAAAATAGTTAAGACAGAATGTTTTTAAGTTCTCTAGATGCTATAGTCGAGACAAAATAACATACAGTGCATTAAAAAATGGCATCACAGAGGCCTTTGAAATAAAAATCAGTAGATGGTATAGTTTGCTCAAAACTGCCTCAATTGATTGTGATATCTGTCAAGAAAACTATACCTCAAATCAAATGATGATCCGATATGACATCTGGTTTTTAAGTGAAAAAGAGAGTACGACGATATATTATGACGACAGAGCGTTGAATTTCACAATTTTCTTAACAATATTCTTCTCTGAACACTAAGGTTTTATTTTATACATGAATAATTAAAAAAAAAACAATAAATCTAAAACTTAATTAATAAATTACTTTAAGTCTACAAAAATATGATATATGAATTACAAATTTCCTAAATAGTGAAAAGTTTCTCTATGTATAATATGAATTAAGAGAATTAAATATAAAACGTTTACATAAAACACGATGTAAATGAATAAAAGTGCATAAAAATCGGAATGCCTTTTTTCAATAATGAAGTTTTTCAGTTTTGCGTTTTCTAACAAACTATTTTGCTAATACAGGGTAAACCAAAATCACAATATACATCTCAATCTCAATTTATAGAAATAAATTTCATAAATATCATATAACTAGGTCAATTCTAGATGCAAATATTGAAAGGGACCTACTGCATTTTTTTAATTCTACAGTTCATAATTTTACTACCAATAATGGTTTCTATTTTTTTTGTAAACTACTTTATGCAGAGAAAAATGAGTAGAGATAACAGATTCTAAATTGACCGTTTAAAATTAGAATTTTGTTTATTTCAAGATCAGTCGATAGATACAAATATTACTGTAAAATATTCAGTGAAGTACTTAGATGTTTGATTTTAAATAATAATTTTACACAAAAGGCGACTTGATTAATAACACCCACACATCAATTATTGTCAGTTTTTAATTTAGTTCGAACTATTTGTGAAAACAGTTATTAATAATGCTGTTTTGGTTATATTAAGTTTATTTTTTAAAAAGCAATCACCTCCTGAATTTTATCACACTTATTCATTTATTACTCTGTATCTCAAACTAGATGGTGCATTTTTAGCGCACATAATTTACATAATTTAGAAACCAGTTGATATAAATAAACAGTGAAATTAGATTAGGGTCATATAACGTGTGATCGAAAAAAAAACGGCGTCCAGTTGGCTGAGAAATGACGATCATTTCCCATATAAATTTACATCTAAAATGACAGCGATCTTCATTTCATAGCTATCGCTGACGCCGTTTTTTTTTCGATCATACGGTACTACACAGTTCGTTAATTTATTAAGAATTTTTTTTTCTCAAACCTCACAAAAGTATAAATTTTTGCGATGTGATTGACAATATAAAAAAGTAATTTTAACGCCTAGGCATAAAAGTGTTAAATTCAACGAGCGTAATCATAGTTTCTCGATATAAAATTACATAGAAGGTATGACTTTTAAATCTTTTTATATTATTTGGAACGTTTGAAATTGTTTAAAAAATTATTTGTGGCGCTTGAAAAAAACATGTTCTATTCAGAGTAAAAATTACTTATTGTGCCTCGAGGCTGTACAAACGTACAACCTCGCCACGAAAGATGTCATTTTTACTACTAATAAAACAATATACTATTATATGCGTCATATAATGAAAATTAACGAACTTGAATTTCATGAAACTTTTCACTTATTAATAATTAATAAAAAACTTTTTTTGGTGCTTCACCTTAACTTCACTGAAAGACTGGTGATACTTTGTTACTTCAATAGAGCAAAATCCTTTTTTCTACAGCTTTCCTGCAAATGGGACATTCCGTCATCTGATCACCGCACATCTGGCATAATCCATGTCCGCACAAGAAAATCATGTTTTTGAGACGATCCAAGCACACTGGACACATGGTCTGAAAAGCGAACAATTGATGTAAAATTTGCCTTGTCAGTTTTTCAAATATTTATACACGGTGTCGCTTACAGTTGCGGCGTGTGGTTTAATATTTTAGAAAATAATTTCACGCTTTTTTTTGTTATCGAATATGTTAGAGAGTATAAACTTTATGTCTTACCTGTTCTTTGATGTCTTGTAATTGTTGTTGCAATTTCTGTATGTCGCTGACGTTTGTGGTGTCTCTACCGCCGTTGTTCATAAGTTGTTCTGGAGGAGGAATAATTTCTGCAGCAGTTGCTGGTTGAGGCTTGATTGGATCCTCTTCAACGTCCGCTTTTACTTCGGATATTGTTCCTAATTTTCAAAAATATAATGAAAATAGATATTATTTTTTAGAAGGGTATTTTTCTATATACCTAAACCTCCACTACACACGGTCATAGGAACCATCAGTTCAATCTGAGAGCGGCATAAAACGCATTTCTTCATTATTTGAGCGCAACTCTCGCATGCAACCATATGTCCACATGGTTTGAACAAAACAGAAGATTTCTTGTCCGAACAGACTAAGCATTCTTCAATCTACAAGTAAAAAATTAAAACAAAAATAATAAAACTACTCAACAAAATTTCTGATAAAATATTTCATAACATAAAAAGATTTAACATGGAAGTAATTGAGTTTCGAAAAACCACCCCTCAATTATGAATGATCGTTCACCAAGACAATGCAAGTTCCCACACAGATCGAAAAACAATTGAGTTTTTAAAGCAAGAAAACATTGACTTGTTAGACAATCCTCCATACAGTCCCGACCTAAGTCCTAACGACTTTTTTACTTTTCCATAGATTAAGAATGAACTGCGTGGTCAAAGGTTCCAGTACCCTGAATATGTAGTCAGCGCCTTAAAAACGCCATTTTGAAGGTACTAACATGCGAGTGGAATAACTGCTTTCAGACTGGGTCCCAACGGATGCAAAAATGCATTTCTCTTCCACGAGGAGCGACTTCATACTTCGAAAAACAATAGTGTTTAAAAGCTATCTACACTTTTTTTCTACCTATATGTGCAAAATATAAAAGACAACCCTCGTATAGATTATAGATAATATCAGCAGAGATACCTTAATTCTTCCTGTGACTGATTCACGGCAAATCAGACATTTCTTGACGCGGGGACCACATGCTGAGCAGCACGTGACGTGGCCACACGGCTGAAACAGCATGTCTCTCTTGCTATCCGAACACACAAGGCACTCGTCCAGAGTCGACGTAATGTTTGTGTTCTGAGTATTCTGATTTGGACCCATATCCATTTCACCGCTCTGTTTGTCCTTGTGACATTTAGCCAAGGTCTTGCACAAGTTCGGATCGGGACAAAGATCCAGTGGTGTTTGTCCTAAAATAATAATAAGTAATAAAAATAAAGTATTACAAGTATAAATGAATAAGTAATAAGAAAATAAAAAGTTGTAACATTATGTCTGAAGGATAAGTCAGATTTGCCAAACACAGGTCAATTAATGGTCCAGGGCTAAAAGCAAACAAGCTTTTAGCTTTTCGGTTAGCTTCTGGTAGGTATATTCGCAGATGCAGTTAGTTACATTATAAAGTTTGAAATATAACTGAAAAGTTCTATATCTCTAATCAGATTACGACATACTATCTTTATTTAATATTGGAAAATGCGAATTTACAACATTTTGGCTTGTTTCATTATCATCACCATTTAGCTTATTCCGTCCACTGCTGAACAAAAGCCTCCCTCAACTCTAGCCATTTCTATGTATTTTGTGCCACTTGAGTCCAGTTTCCAGTCACTCTCTTAATATCATCTGTCCATCGACAAGGAGATCGTCCTCTGCTTCTATAGGCTTCGTGTCTTGATCTCCATTCCACAAGTCTCTTTGCCCACCATCCATCTGTTATCCTTGCCACATGTCCTGCCCAATTCCATTTAAGATGTGACAGATATTACCGCATCAGTTCGATTTCGCATGGTATGATTTGGTATTTTATCCCTAAGTGTAACTCCCAATATGGACCTTTCCATTTTCTGTTGCATGACCTGTATTCTATGTATGTTCTTTTTTGTCAAAGTAAGTGTTTCAGCTTCATACGTCAGGACAGGCAAGACAAACTGGTTAAAGACCTTTCTTTTTAAACATATTAGAAGATCAGAACTCAGTATATGCTTTAGTTTACCGAATGCCGCTTACGACACACCTATTCGTCGTAGAATTTCATGTGTCTGATTATCCCTTCTAATACCGATCTCATGTCCTAAGTATTTATATACAGGGTGAGTCTTACAACATACCATAAAATTTTGATTTGTTTGAAAAAAATGGAATTTTTTTAGTTTTTTAGTTCATATGGCAACATAGGTAGTGGATTAAATTTACAAGAAAGAAAACTCAGAAAAGATCCAGTGGTTCTCAAAATTCAAGCAAAAAACATTTTTTTGGGAAATTTTCAAACTAAAATAACTCGGTTATTTTGGACTTATTTGAAAAACGGTAAAGAGAAAGTATGTTTCTTTTATCGAGATCTACCAGCCCTGAAAATATTTGCACTTATTTAAGACTCACCCTATATATGCACTTGTTTCAAAAGTAAGTTATTAATGTTTAAATTACCACTCAGTACTAGGTTTGTCATGTATTGTGTCTTTGATAAGTTAATTTTCAAACCGACTTTTTCCGAAGCATAATTTAGCGTATCCAGCATATTCTGTGCTTCCTGTATATTGTCTGTTATTAAAACAATATCATCTGCAAAACAGAGATGTTTTATCAACTTGTCATCGATGTTAATTCCTGTTGAATAACAGTTTATCATTTTTAACATACTTTCTAGCACAGCAACGAATAGTTTAGGTGAGAGTGTGTCGCCTTGTCTTACCCCTCGATCGATATTGAATTTGTCTGTGCATTGATTTGTCGATATTCTGACGTTTGCCGTGGCATTATCATATATATATGTCTTATGATTGCGGAGTATCGATGATCGATGCGACTCTTAATTCAGGCTGAGAGCGTCGAGCGTCGCGTCGCGTCGCGTTTGCGTATCCGCCCCATTGAACTCGAACCCCGACGCTCAGCGGACGCTAGCGTAACGCCAAACGCGACGCGGTCTGCTTGAACGGTCTAATTTAAGTTAAGTGAATTGATTCCATTTCGACACGCGGACGCGACGCAAACGCGACGCGACACTCGACGTTCTCAGCCTGAATGTACTTTTACTTAGTGTCTCTAGAAGCTTCCACTGGTCTACCGAATTGAAGGCCTTCTCAAAATCCACCAAGACAAGCATTAGTGGTCTATTATACTTGATGCATTTCTTGATAAGGAGAGATTGGCTTGTTTAGTTTTTGAGAAAACTATATGTGGACCGTGCAAGAAAACAATGAAAAATAAAAAATTATACAATGACAAAAATGGAGCAATGAGGAATAAAATAATGCCGTAAAAAGTAATCGTTTGCTATTACCTTTTTTATTCTTGATTGTCAAGTCAGCACCGTTTCCAGCAAGGAAACAAGCGATGCTCGCTGAAGACTTTTTATCGGATCCTTGCGTTCCTAACCCCATAAGCAACTTCCCCACGTCTTGTACGTCTTGAAGTTGTCGCAATTGTGATAAAGTATGATGACGTAATGCCTCATGTAACGGAGTGTCACCGTCCTTATCGGCGATGTTTAAGTTAGCCCCTTCTCTGACCAAAAGCTAAAAACATAAAATACATGTATATTTATTGTAGGCAAATAAATACTATGTATACTCACTCTAACTATTTGCGTGTGTTGTCTTTCAACAGCAAGGTGAAGAGCAGTTTGGAGATTGACGTTTTGTAGGTCCATATTAGCCTTTCCGTGAAGTACCAGCTGTTCGGCGACTTCTACGTGATTATTAAGGGCGGCAAGGTGAAGGGCCGTGTAACCGTCATCTTTTTTCTCGTCGACAATCCATGGACGAGGTAGTTTGGCCAATAAAATTTTCATAGCACTGAAAAAAAATATGTTATATTAAATTTTGTTACATTAATTTCATACCAACAATATTGAGTTTCTAGTCTAGTTTAAGGAAATTTATATTAAAAAGGGAAATTGGAACAACTTTCGTTGCACGTCATCAATGACACCATGCGTCGTTTAATGGAGTTTGCTGGTGGTCGTATTATGATGTGCAACGAAAGTTATTTTAATTTCCCTTTATATCTATCTACATTACAATAGGATAGATCTCTTTCAACTAGATTTATATCACCCTTGAGGTAAAAACTATGATCTATTAATTAGTAATATTAAATAATATAATACTGCTGTTTAATATTTTAGGAGAAAAAATTGTACTTTGTTAAGTTCAAAGAACTCTTGTAGAACAACAACTGTATAAAAGTTATTTTTTCGGGAAAATGTAGATTTACTTGGACCACATATACAGTGTGTTTCAAAAAACATGTGCCATCTCTCGTGGTCTCGTGGGGAGATGCCTCACGTAAAAATAAGATGTATTTTTCATATCAATATAGGTCCTATTCTTCTTTGTTTCGTAGCTAAAGGGTATTAAAGTCGTAATAATCTTTCGATTTATTATAATTTTCTTTCAAGTACTTTTAGTGATTCGAATGAAATTTGAGGGTAAAAATTATTATAAATGCTACATATTTTAATGCTAAAAAAGTGTGATACATCAGGAACGTGCATATGGGTTATAACTGGAATATTTAAAAAAAATCATGTGCGACACTGACTTTTTTCTTTTGATAATAAAATCGTGTAATGTCAATTAAAAGTTATCTCTTGATATTTTCTCGAATTAATCACAATTAATAAAAATAAAATTAATAAATTATATATTTTACCTAATTTATTATTAAATATTATTACTATTAGTCCAACCTACAGCAATTTCAAATAAAAAAATAATGGTATTTCAGATAATTACAAAAAACCTCATTTTAAAAAGTTTTAACGTGCTGTAACTCTAAAACTATGCATTTCCATACCCATGTTTATAGGAATCTGTATATTAAAATACAGTATGATCGAATAAAAATGGTGTCAGGGATGGCTATGAAATGACGATCGATGACATTTCCCATATAATTTTACATATAAAATGACAGCGATCTTCATTTCATAGCCATCGCTGACGCCGTTTTTATTCGATCATACGATATATTGTTTTACACTGGTTTTGATGAAACAGAACGTAGAGCGAAATAAAATGTTTTGATTCTGTTTTTCTTTGAGCGGGAATAGAAAATTAATTGTGTCTCGACGAAAATCCTAACATCCAAACAAATCTTAAGAAAATTTGGACCGCATGCAGGCATATGTAGACTCTACACATTCGGTTTTGTTTTATTGCGACACCGGCTTCAAAAACCTTTTCGAGTAATTAAATATCGATTCTGTGTGGTCTAGGTCGTATTTTCCTAGGAAAAACGAGAACAGAAAAGTCGCCAAATCCGGCTCGCATACTCACACATACTCCACTAGCTAAAGATTAATAAAATAAAAAGCGGTCCGGGGAAGAGCAGCAGCCGATGTGGCGCCTAGGACAATACCAACTTAAAGACTAGGCTACAGTATTCGAGAATCGAAACGACGTGACGTCATCATTGTAGGAGTTTAGGTTATAATTATTTGTCATCGTGTGTATAAAATACCGAAACTGGGAAAACAACGTGTCTGATTAAATTTTTATTTTTTACAGAAAATGACAAAAGAAAGGGTTATTGAATATAGGTATTCTCGTAGCTTGAAAGTTCAATTTAAATTTTCTGTGTTGTCTTCGCTATCTCAATATTCCATGTAAGCCTCTGATCAAATTATACACCAAGACACTCTGTTTCTTTGGCAAATGAAATCTTTGTTTCTTCTAGCACCGGAGCGGAGGTTTTAGACCTTTTGGTATTATATTTTTTGTAAAGTAAACATCTTGTATTGCAGTTTCTATTTCAGCAATACAAAAGATATATAAAAATGTTTGTTTCTTAATAAAAACTGGAAATAAAATATCAAAACCATTTAAAATATCAAAAGGATTAAGGCAAGGATGTTGCCTGTCACCAACTTTATTATTACTATATACGTAAACCAAGTTTTAAAGCAATGGAAAAGCAAGTGTAGAGGCACGGACATACCAATAATTGAAGATTCTTGCTTATACACTTTGCAATTCGCTGACGACCAGGTTATTTGTGCAGGAGACAAAAACTTAAAGAGGAATGCCAAGTTTGGGACTGGAGATGAATATCACCAAAACTAAATATCTCTGCGTTGGATCGGATCAAACAGCAATAAAACTGGATAATGAATATATACAAACATGTAACGAATACAAATACCTAGGCGTTACTTTCGATAAATCCAGGAAAAACGACAACGAAATAAGCTCGAGAACAGTCAAGGCCAGAAATGCATTAAAATATAGAGAGTGCCCAACTGAAGTGGTATGGACATGTAAGAAGGATGGACAACACGCGACTGCCTCAGAAGGTACTAAACTGGCTTCCAGAAAAGAGAAGAAAACGGGGAAGACCAAGGACAAACTGGATGGAGGGTGTGAAGAAGGCGATCAGCTCAAGGGATCTGCATGAGGGAGACTGGGATGAACGAAATCAATGGCGACTAGGCATCGCACAACGTCGAAGGACATTTTAAAACCGATTCTTATATAAACATTCTGTGTTTTCTGAACATTGGCTGTCAGTCTCTCTTGTTCACATCACTTGTCTACTTTAATTAGCAAACTTATCTCTGACCACAATTACAATATCGTCTGTACAACCTAGACTAAAAAAGTCTTGTGTGGACAATTACAGCTACAGCGATTCGCACGCTTGTATAATTATATCCACTATTGATGACGTCATGCTTGCTCGCTTGCGGCTTTACTTTTTAAGGTGGTATTGTCCTAGACCGCGCTTCAGCTTTCGTCTTCTTCCAAAAATTCACCCCGTTCTTCGGGATTATCTGCTCCTCCACGTTTTCCACATCTTCAGCGCCCGTTCCATTATACCGAAAATGGCCATATCGCGTCTATAAATTTATGCCCTCCCGGCCGAGCCTACGGCCTCGCCAGTAGTGCGCCTCGTTCCGATGCTAATGAAAGCGGGAGAGCTATTTCTGCCGCGGCATCAGGGATTCCGTCTAAATTCGTTACGTATGCCGAGAATTGTGAGCGCGTACCAAAATGAGATCTCTCTTTCGAGGGACCGGTGAACGACCGAATACGTCTTGGTAACAGTGTCGTATCCAGTGTGACAAAGAGGGGTTATATAGTCAACTTATTAAAACGTATTATTTGTAAATTGCTTCTTCTTCCTAGGTCGCCGTCTCCCTTCGGAGGGTGGCGATCCACCTGGCTATGATGGTGCGTGAAACCGCACCTCTTAAAATTTCAATCGATGTTCTTCCGAACCAACGACGCAGATCCTTAAGGAATTTTGCCTTCTTCCCACTGATCTCCTGCCCTCAATTTTGCCTTATTTGACAAGTCTGAGCACCTCGTATCCATCACCTCTCATGATGTGACCGACGTACTGTAACTTCCTTTCCTTCACTGTTGATAGGAGCTCTTTATCTTTGCTCATCCGCCTGAGTACCTCCTCATTTGTCACTCTATCCATCCAGGATATACGCAGCATACGATGATACTAGTAGATCTCAAAAGCCTTAATGCGGTTTTCCAATGTCTGATTGAGTGTCCAACCCTCAGAGCCGTAGAGAAATACTGGAAAGATGTAGCAACGCAGCATACGTATGCGCAGTTCGAGGCTTAGAATCTCGGGTGGAGAAGATGGTTTTCATGGAAGCAAAAGTACGTCTGGCCTGTTCGATCTTCGCCAAAATTTCAGTTTTGGGGTCGCAAGCGTCGTTAACGAGGGCTTCTAGATGCTTTACGGACGATGCTTGTTCTACCGCCTTGTTGTTAATTCTGAGGACAGTCTTTCTCAGTGTTTTGGAAAATACAGCAAGTTTAGTTTTGTTAACATTGATGTGTAATCCGTACTGCATGCTATGTTCAACGATGCAGTTCATCATGTTCTGAAGGCGTAGAATGTTGCCAGCTAGTACGACCGTATCATCTGAGAAGCGAATATTGTTAATCAGGGTACCATTGATTTTGATACCATCCTCAACGCTCTCTAGTGTCTCACCGAATACCGCCTCGGAGTAGATGTGGAAAAGGAGTGGGGATAATACACTCCCCTGCCTGACGCCTTTCCCAATTACTACTTTATCAGATGTTCCGCCATCCCCCCTGATCTCTACAGTCTGGTTCCAGTATAATTGGGTGATAATGCGCAGGTCCTCCTCAACAAAAACAACGGAGAACATAATATGTCAATGCGAGGCTCTGGATCGCAAGCGACACTTTCTATTTGGAAAAACAATTTTCTTATCTTTTTCATAACCTTCTATCCTTGGTGGGGTGGCACTCATGCCCACTTGCATCGTTTGTATAAACTTTGTTTAAAGGCTAAACAGCGATTAACTATAATAAAATATTATATAGTTAATCACTGTTTAGCCTTTAAACAAAGTTTATACAAACGGTGCAAGTGGGCATCAGACTACGATGACTTTTTCTTTGACCGAATTTGTTCAGCTTCTCTGACTTTTCTTGCTGAATTTGTTCAACTTCTCTAGGCATGTTTTGACCAGGTACGAATTGATGGTTACTGAGTTGATCGCTCTTAAGGCTGCTTGGCTATCAGATAAGATGGATATTTCTTGTTTCCGATCGTCTCCATCTAAGTTGTACGCACCTTTCGATAGCGTAGATTTCTGCCTGAAGGGTGCTGCAGTGCTTAGGTAGGTGCTTATTGGTTCGGAGTATTTAGTTTTCGACCCAAATACTCCTATCGCTGTTCTTGCTTTAGTTTTTGCGAAACATCAGTATACCACATTATGGTATGATCTTTTAACTCCTGAGAAAACGTTTCTCTTCCAATTCTTTTTGTTATTAATAACGCCTAACCAGTTTTAAGC